AATCGAGCTCGAACCCGGTCTTCGGTTCCGTCCTGAACACTAGAGTGGACCTGCACAAGAGGGTAAGCACTCTGACGCTCAAGTTAGTATAGATCGGATTTTGTATTTAGTTCGAGGTGAGATTCGATACATGAGCGTGAAATGAAGTCCTCTATTTATAGGTGATGGATCCGACAGTACACACGACCGGCGGTTATATTCCTTTTCTCATGTCGAACCTGTCGGGTTCCAAGCAGGTCGGACCCCAACCAGGTCGAACCTTGACGCCCATACTTCGCCTTTTATAACGGGCGAACCCGGTCTCCTCGGCAGGGCCGAGGTGGACCTAGGCAATCCCTCTTATCCAGTTTCTTCAAACACCAATAAGGGTCCTCCACGTGTCCTGGGTATGTTTACCCCCAAACAACTTTCATTCTTGCTCACTCGCTCTTTGGCTACGTCAATGGATCAATTAACGCTCCAACGAAATTTGTGCGTGCTTCCGGCGATACACCTACTACTAAAGTTAGTGATGCGTTGCTAAAGTTGAGTAATGTTCGTGACCAACTGCTAATGACACTCCTGAATGCAACACTTTCTTCGTCTGCACTGAGACATGTGATTGGTTCGACCTCTTCCCATGAGCTGTGGATATCCCTTGAAAAACGATAGTCTTCTCAATCTTGTTCTCATATTTTGGAACTACGATCAGAATTATATACCATTGAGAAGGTTCAGTCATAATCTATTGAACAATATACTCAAAGTCATTATTGATAAACTTGTTGTCGTTTCTGTGTCTTTGGATGATAAGGAGATCTTAATTTACACGTTTAATGGATTGCCTTTGGTGTTTAATTCTTTCCATACATCTATTCGTACGTGCAGTGATAGTCTCACACTTGAAAATCTCCATGTCATGCTTGAGGTTGAGGAACAATCTCTGAATCAACATACTAAGGCTTCAGAACTTATTCCTACGGCTATGGTTGCTTATCGTGGTACTTCTACCTTTCAGGATGGAAATAATGGTGGTTCCTTAAATCATGGCCGAAATAATCGAGGCAACGATCGTGGTGATTTTCCTACCTCTGGTAAAGGTAATTCTCACTTGTTGAACTCTTTGGGGGTCAATTTTGGAAATACTTAAGGTAGTACTTTTTCATTTTCTTTTGGCCGTACTATTTGTCAAAATTGTAACAAACCTGGACACAATGCTCTTGATTGTTACCATCGGATGTATTTTTCTTTTCAAGATCCTCGTCCTTCGACGCAACTTGCAGCGATGGCAGTAAATTTTATGACCCTTTATTCTTCCCAATCTAATGCTTTTTGGTTGTCTGATAGTGGTTGCAACACTCATCTCACCAATGATTTGACAAATATTTCAGCCTTGCAAATACTTACAATGGAGAAGATGCTTGGTGTATTGTCTAAACTCGTAGTTTGTGATTATGTAAAAACATATTTATATTCAATAAAGTTATGTTTTCATATTCAATCAAATTGTTCTTCAGTTTATTGTCCAAATCGAATAAACTAAACATCCAAGGTTATTTTCATGTAACCGGGACAGTATATATACTGAGTATATATTTGATATACCTGCGATATATATGTGGATAATGTCACGGGAATAACTTAAATGATCTATAATATATGGATAAGGATGGGTACCTTATCCTGGCAACACTATGGATACGACCCACTTTGTAAATGTTACAAACGACCGGATCCAAGTCATTGATGTGGAAACATGCGAGTGGGCTATCCTATACAATGAGTTTGTATAAAACCGGATCGCAACATAGTCAATCTTTAGATGTAACACCGTTGACTAATAGAGTGCTATTTCATTGGATGATCAAGCAACTTATTCTCAATCCTGAGTGAGTTATGGATTCTTGCCCGTGAGGGCATGTCCTATGATTTGTATGGGTGGGAGTGGCCCGAGTCGCTGAATCAATATTCCTACCATTTTTGGGATGAGACCGAGTGGGAAGCTGGAAACATAACTACACAAGATGAAATTCACTCCTTTCCGACTTTAGAGGAATAGATGAGTGTTCCCATAAGTGATGACTCCGGGACTTGAACAATGGATCCTACCCTCTCACTGGTCGGAGATGGACTTTCGGTTATTGGTCGGACCATAACCGGGTTGCTCATTAGAGGAGCAATGGTATTTAAGGAGCAAGATGTAACTCAGGGGTAAAATGGTAATTTGACCAAGCTAAAGTTACGAACACTCATGATGGATTGACTTGCCGTTAATGGTCGTACATCTATGGACACGAAAATATTATGCAGTGAAAAGAGTGCAGCTGCCGGTCTTTAGTGGAGTGGCTCATAGTTAACGAATGTTGATCAACTCCATTAATGAGTTTGACCGATTAATCTTGCATCGTTGGAGCTTCTGATCTGTAGGTCCATTAGGTCTGTTTGTTAGGTCACAACAAGTAAAACAAAGATCAAGTTTCTTGGAAGAATTTAAAATGTTCAAATTGCTCATATATATATATAAAAGCAATTTGAACACACACATATACATATACATATATACATACATATATATGTATATATTATATGTATATATATGTATATGTGTATATGTATGTATATATATATATATATGGATTGCTCATATATATATATATATTAATTATAATATATGGTTAATTCTAAATTAAAACTATGAGAGAACTTATTTAACTGAAATTCAAATAAAAATTAATAGGAATAGAATTCATATTAATACTATAGGTTAAAAATAATGTGCATATAAGAGGTACGTTAGAAAGAAATGTTTTAAAATATGATTATATTTTAATAATAAATAATTAAGTGTTAATTTTTTATTATATATATATAATTATTAATTATATTAATAATTAAAATCGAGGATAAGCAAGTCCTGTTTCTGTACGAGTTTCTCTCTCTAGGTGGGGTTTGTTTCCGTTCGGTCTTTTCTGTTTCGGCTGTTTTGGTTTACGTTGGTGTGTTTCCGCTAGGGCGTTGGTTTCTTCTGGTGCTATTATGTTCCTTCTATGGAGGATTTAGTGCGTCGTTGGGCTAGTCTTGTGTTAATCGAGGATGAAGCCATTCCTGTGTCTATTGGGGATGTGAATATTTTGTTGTCGAATGAAACTATTCAATTGTGTGCCATGGCGAAAGTTTTCACTAGCCATAAGATCCATCTTGATGCCTTTCGATCGTTCATGAAAACTATTTGGCGTGTGCACCATGATACTCGCATTGAATCTGCCCGTGACAATGTCTTTGTTATTCACTTCCGCTCCCTGATGAAGAAAAATCGGGTTATGAACTCGGGGCCCTGGCATTTTGAAAAAGCGTTAATTATTTTGGTATCCCCAATGGCAGAGGATTGGCCTGAGTCTATGGTTTTTTCTCACTGCTCTTTTTGGGTGTAAGTACATAATGTCCCGTTCAACTGTCTAACTCGTGATATGACCTAACTTCTAGGTGGTACTTTTGGTCAGGTGGAGGAGGTTTCTTGGGCGGATTCTTCCCCTTGGATTGGGTCGTTTATATGGGTATGCGTTTGCTTGGATATCACTCGCCTCTCCGTCGAGGTGTTAAGCTCTATTTGTCCTATGGTATTGTGGTATGGTGTCCTTGTAAGTATGAGCGCCTACCTCGGCCATTCCATTAGAGAGTGCGACGTACCAAGCGACGCTTCTATCTCAACGTCGGCTCCTTATGGCGATTGGCTCCGTGCGACTCCATTGGCCCGGGCTCCAATGCGGAGAATGGGGGTCCCAGCGGTCTATCTGCAGGTAATTTTGGTGCTTGGGGAAGGAGTGGGGATGATCGACGTGAGGCTCCTTTGTTCAGGTCCCTTCCTGCCATCTGAGGCGGAGACGGTGGGTGGTGATGCTTCCTCGGTAGTGGGCGCCGGCGTGCATGTGACGGCGTCGACTAGTTCTGTTGTCTCTGGCGTGGAACGGGAGCTGGTCGTGCCGTCTTCTGCGGCTACTGATTCCACGATTATGTTGACTGCGCACGACACGCATACACGATCTGATGGTTTAGTTTTGACTCCACCTATGCTTTTGGAGCTTGGGGATTCCTCTCAACCCAAGGCCTCTTCTATTGGTCCTATTCTGTCAAATGAGTCGGCCTCAACTAAACACTGGAAACAACTTGCACGTGGAGCTATTATGGATATCCCATTTCAGGTGGGGCCACTGGTCTTAGTGAGAAACGTGACTTCCCATTTGAGATCTCCTCCTCCCAGATTCTTGGGAAAAAACAAAAAGTGGGTTTTAAAGGCGGGGCGGTGGATCCTACTCTATCCTATGATGACTCTTCGACTTTATCTCCATCGGCGGAGGCTATTCTTCAGCCCCACCGAGAACCATGACGATCCTTTTTTGGAACGCCCGTGGTTTGGGGTCCACGGGCCTTTCAGTTGGTGTTTTTGACACGAACCCACCTTGTGTTCCTCTCTTAAATGAAAGTTGTTACGTCCCGCATGGATGATATTCGCTACCAGTTGCATTTTGATAATTGTTTTAGCGTGGATTGTGTTGGTCGAAGTGGTGGTTTGGCTCTGTTGTGGTCTCGGGAAATTTTCTTTAATCTGATTTCTTTCTCCTAAAATCACAATGATGGTTGGGTTGACTGACAGGATGATCAGTGGCGTTTTACAGGTTTTTACGGCCACCCGACACTGAATCAAAACATTTATCTTGGTCTCTCCTTCGGCATCTTCAAGCTAGCTCTGAGTCCTCTTAGCTTATTGGTGGAGATTTTAATGAGATCTTGAGTCAGGACGAGAAATACGGGGGGCGGCCTCAGGTTGATTCTGACATTTTTAGTTTCCTTTCTGCTGTAGATGCTTTGAACTTTTGGATCTGGGGTTTCAAGGGCCTATTTTCACGTGGTCCAATCGCCAACCGGGGGAAGCGTTTATTCACGAATGCCTCGATTGAGTGTTATGTAATCTTGCATCGCAATACTCTTCCCGTGTAGCTTTGTTAATCACTTGGATTTTTATAAGTCTGTCCATAGGCCATTGCACCTTACCATGGCAAAATAGAATTTTCCGTCTCATTCCCCCCAGTATAGAATTTTGCATTTTGAAGAGATTTGGTTGTAGCTTCCAGATTGTGGGTCGCTTGTTACTGCAAGCTGGGTCTCCTCTCCCCTTATGTCTTCTTCGTCAGTTATAGCCCAGAAAACAAAAGCGTGTATGCAGCGGTTATTTGATTGGGGGCGCCCAAAAATAGGTGGGGACAAGGCGAAAATTCGAGTGGCTTCAGCTTGTGTACAAGACAAGCTCTCTGATCTTCCCCACCAATCCAATTGGGATTATCTTTTTGCCGCGAAATCTGAATTGGAACGACTCCTGTTGGAGGAAGAACAATATTGGAAGCAACGATCTTGAGAGCAGTGACTGCGTTGGGGAGATAAGAATTTATGTTGGTTTCATAGCCGGACCTCTCTCAGACAGAAGACGAATAGAATTTTGGGTCTTATGGATTCGAATGGTCAGTGGCATGTTGATCGGGCCCACGTTTGTACGATGGTAACTGATTACTTTACTATATTTTTTCTCTTCCCACACTTCTGAGGCAGATTTATAGGCTGTGCTGGCTTATGTTGAGTGTAGAATCGATTCTATAATGAATTGCGATCTTACCAAACCTTTCAGGGAGGAGGAGATTTTGACGGACTTACAGCAAATTCATCCTCACAAAGCTCTTGGTCCTGATGGTCTCTCTGGGGCTTTTTATCGTAATCACTGAGAAATTGTGGGGCTCGATATCATTCAGTGTTGTCTTGCAGTTTTAAACCATGGCGCCTTCCCAGCCCCTTTAAATGAAACTCTGATTGTTCTTATCCCTAAAGTCCCGCAGCCCCTGCGTATTACAGATTACAGGCCAATTTCTCTCTCTAATGTCGTTTATATGCTGATTTCCAAAACTCTTGTTAATAGGATGAAACGAGTTCTAAACACCATTATTTCTCCCCAACAAAGTGCTTTCATTCCAGGCCGGTGTGTCGTTGACAACGCAATTCTAGGCTATGAAATGTCCTCACTCTCTTAAGAACCATCGTCAAGGTAAATATGGGTGGGCAGCCCTGAAACTCGATATGAGTAAAGAGTACGACCGGGTTAAGTGGATTTTTCTTGAACGTATCATGCTTAAGATGGCTTTGCCAAGGCCTGGGTCCTGTTAATTAAAATTTGTATGAGCACTGTTACCTACCCTTTCAACCTTAACGGGGAGCGGTTAGGTCATATTACCCCCAGTAGAGGTCTACGGTAAGGAGATCTTTTGTCCCCTTACTTATTTCTGTTATGTGTTGAGGGCCTGTCTTGTCTTTTTCATGGGGCCGAAAAGCGAAAATCGATCTCCGATTTGTCCATTGCTAAACACAGTCCACTGATTTCTCATCTCTTCTTTGTCGATGACAGTCTAATCTTCTTCAAAGCGGTGCCTGTCGAAGGGGCAACAGTATGTTCAATTCTCCATTGGTATGAGCGAGCTTATGGGAAACTATAAATTTTGAAAAGTCCGTTATTTCTTTTAGCCTGAATACTGGGAGCGAGGTTATTCATGATATTACCCATTTTTTTGGCGTTCCACAGACCCGTCGTCATTAACAGTATTTGGGGCTTCCATCTTTCATGCCACAAAACCAACGGAATACATTGGGTTTTATTAAAGATCGCGTATGGCGGCGGCTCCAAGGGTGGCAAGGTAAACTTTTTTTCCATTAGGGGGCATGAAAAACCTTTTTCCATTAGGGGGCGTGAAATCCTTATTAAGACTGTGATTCAAGCTAAGCTATTCCCTGTTATACTATGAATTGTTTTCGTCTGTCGAAAGCTTTGATTCATGAACTGCACCAAATGATAGCTCGGTTCTGGTGGAAGGGTCTGGATGAGGCACGTCGAATTCATTGGGTGAGCTGGTCAGATCTTTGTCGACCGAAATGCTTAGATGGTTTAGGCTTTAAGAATTTGGAGCTTTTTAACCAGTCTTTGTTGGCCAAACAGGGTTGAAGGCTTCTGCAGGATCGTCTTCTCTTCTGGCCTGTGTGTTGAAGGGGCGATGTTTCCAGACTAGTTCGTTTATGGACACGAACATTGGTTGGACCCCTCCTTTATCTGGCGTAGTATACTATGCGGTCGGGATCTTCTTCGCCGAGGCCTTCGTTGGCGGGTGGGCAATTGGTGAATCGATTAAGGTGTACGGGACTAATTGGCTTCCTCGGGATGTGTTGCTTCAGGTTCGCTCACCTTGGCATCTTCCAGTTTCAAGCCATGTTTGCGATCTTTTCACAGCCTTGGGCCCATTGAAATGATCCTTTAGTTCGAGAGAGGTTTGATACTATTAAGGCATCCATTATTTTAGGCCTTTCCCAGGACGGTCGTTCTCGACCAGGTCATCAAATTTGGTACTTTGATAAATCAAGTGTGTTTTCCGTTAAAAGTGGGTATGCGTTGGCTTTTAATCTGGCTCCTTCTCTTCAAGCTTCTTCTTCTTCTTCAAATTATTTATTATATTGGTGGAAGGGTTTCTAGAAAATGCATCTCCCCAGTAAAATTAAAATTTTCCTTTGGCGTTTGTGTCTTGATCGTCTCCCTACTTTTACGGCTTTGATTCGTCGTGGGCTGGACATTCTGAATTGTTGCCATTTATATGGTAGCGCGAGAGAGGATACTTTGCATGTGTTTTGGTTCTGTAATGTGGTGCGGGGTATCTGGGCCCAATCGAAATTTGCGACCCTTTTTCACCTGTGATATGTCCCGAATATTTTCTTTTTACTGATTGAGTTACAGGTGACTCTTCACTGATATGATTTCGAGGAATTTGGGGTATTTTTGTGGGCATTATGGCATATTCGAAATCGGTCACGTTCGTTGGGCGATATGACAGCTGGTCCTCTCGATTCTTGGGTGGTGAATTTCATTCCGACCTTCAGTAGAGCTCAGGGGCCAGGGGGTGTTGCCTCTGGGTCACGAGTGGAGCGGCGTGCCTGCAGGTGGAAGGCTCCTCGGCCGGGTTATTTCAAGGTGAACACCGACGCTTCTTTTAATTCTGTTTCTTTGAGTGTTGGGGTGGGCATTCTCATTCGAGATTCTCAAGGCCAACTCATGCTTGCTGGGTCAGTTTTCCTGCCTTATTATGGTTCAGTTAACTTGGCGGAGGCACTTGCAATTAAAGAGGGTCTGTCTCTAGCGCTTGATATGAGTTTCTCTTTGCTACGGTTGGAGACGGATTCTATATGTTGTTTTCGACTACTCAGTCACAATGCGTGTGGATGGAAGATGGGCCAATTGCCATCTCTAAAATTCTGGCTGATGATCAGCGTTTTTGTTGTTCTTTTTAGTTTTTTTTTTTTTTTTGTTCCTTCATTTCTGCCATAAAAAAAAATTAGAATAATAATTAATTAATTAATAAGATTAATTAATTGTATATATGTTAATTATTATTATTAATTATTAAAAATATTAATATAATTAATATTATTATTAATATTAATTAAACACTCCCTACTGAGATCAAATGGGCATGAAAGTCCCTGTATATTTGGTTCTGCATTTTCTAACCAATCTCTTTGTGTTCTCCCAATCCCAAGAGTTTTTTAATTCCAAGTTGGTGCTCCCACAAACAATTTCTTGTTCCCAGAGGATAGTCGGAAGATCTATGGTGGTATGAACAGATTCACTGCAAAAAGTTTGAAGAACGTCTTCAAAATAAGTTAAACCTCTCTGTTTTTCCTTTTACTGTGTTGTTAATTTTCTCTTTAAATTCAAAAACACGATTCTCGTTTCCGCTGCGGGATTAACATCACATCATAATAAGAGGCTGTCGCTGTTGGCCATGGGCAGCCCTTGAACATCACACATACAAGCAATGGTATTCTTCCCACTCCATCTCATTCTTTCACCATTTCAAATGTCCTTCACTCTCTTGAATTAGCAACCAATTTGTTGCCCGTTCATAAATGTTGTCAAGGTAATAATTGTTTGTTTATTTTTTACTCTGATTGGTTCATTATCCACGACAACTTCACTGCCAAAATTTTGTGCAAAGGCAAGAGTGACAATGAATTATATCTGATTCCAAACTCATTTACTCTTCTGTTGTCATCACCGGAACATACTGCTTTTTTTAGCAAATAAGGAGTGTAATACTTGCCATTATAGGTTAGTGTTGGGTGTGTTGACCTAAACTCGTAATTTGTATTTATGTAAAAATAAATGTATATTCAATAAAGTTTTATTTAATAAATTTATTGTTGAATTCATAGCATTGCATTGTCCAAAATCCAATAAACTAAACATCCAAGGTTATTTTAATGTAAACGGGACAGTATATATACTGGGTATATATTTGATATACTAGGTATATATTTGATATACCCCTGATATACGAGGTGTATATTTGATATACGAGTGGATAATGTCTCGTGAATAACCGAAAGGGTCTATAGTATATGGATAAGGCTGGGTACCTTATCCTGACAACACTATGGATACGGCCCACTTTGTAAATGTTACAGACGACTCGATCCAGGTCGTTCGTGTGGAGACATGCGAGTGGGGGTATCCTACACAATGAGTTTGTATAAGACCGGACTGCGAAATAGTCAATCTTTAGATATAACGTCGTTGACTAACAAATTGCTATTTCATAGGATGACCAAACAACTCGTTCTCAATCCTGAGTGAGTTATGGACTCCTGCCCGTGAGGGCTCGTCCTTTGATCTGTATGGGTGAGAGTGGCCCGAGTTGCCAACTCAATATTCACTAATCCCCGATGTTAGGGGAGTATATGAGTGTTCTCTTAAATGCTGACTCCAGGACTTGAACAAGGGACCCCACCCTCTCATTGGCTCGAGAGGGACTTCCAGTTATTGGTCGGACCATAACCGGGTTGTTCTTAGAAGAGCAGTGGTATTTAAGGAGTAAGATGTAACTCAGGGGTAAAACGATAATTTGACCCAACTTGAGTTACGAGCACTCGTGAAGGATTGACTTGTAATTAATGGTCGCATATCCATGGACACGAAAACATTCTACAGTGGGAAGAGTGCAACTGCAGGTCTATAGTGGAGTGACCCGTAGTCAACGAATCTTGATGAACTCGGTCAATGAGTTTGACCGATTAATCTTGCATCATTGGACCTTCTGATCTATAGGTCCATTAGGTCCCCTTACTAGCTCATAACGGGTAAAACGAGGATCAAGTTTTTGGAAGAATTTGAAATGTTCAAATTACTTAAGGGATTATATGTATATTGATACATTATAATATATAGTTAATTCTAAAATAAAATTAATATGAATAAGATTCATATTAAAACTATAGGTTAAAAATAATGTGCATAAGATATACATTAGAACTATAGATTCTACGAGAGAAATACTATAGAATATTATTCTGTTTATGTTACAAATAATTAAGGGTTTATTATTTATTTGATATATATATATATATTAATTAGTAATATTAATATTAATATTTCCCTCCCTTGCAAAATTGCAGGGGAGTGGGCAGTTAAGTGATGTGGGGTAACTCCCCACGTCATTGCTTTTGTTTGGTTCTTTTGCAGTTCTGCAAAATACAGAACACACAGAACAAAAGAAGTAGAACTGCCAAATTCTCTCTAGAGCTTTCTCTCTCAAATTCTCACTTAGATTCTAAACGGTGCTCCCACAAGCACGATCTCGAGACCCAAGAACATAGTAAGGAAGATTCAGTGGTGGTGTTCGGGTAGAAATAGTTGAAGAAAAGTTCTTTACGTGTGATTCGTTGAGACATAAACATCTACCACTTTTTTTTTAGAAAAGGGATGAAATGCATTGAATAGATATCTTCATTTTTATATTCATTATTCGGATTAATGAACTAAATCAGACAGTTATATCAGTGAAAGAAAACAGCTTATATAAATATAAATTAGCAGTAAAAATATTGAGTCTCATTTTCTATGTATAAGAGTTAAGCAGAAATAAACATAGGCGCAAGAGAGCCTTTGTCCCAAGATTGGTTGACTTAAATGTAAGTTTCCCTTGTATTTTCTTCTTTGAATTTTTGTTTTGTTTTCTCAAAAAATCATGAACGAAGATCCGCTTCCACTCCGAGATTCACATCTCATCAGTTAGGTCATCCATAACAGATTCACATCTCTTCTTACTTTGATTTAAATGGTATCCTACACCAAAAATCTTCTCCTTATACTCCTGGGCAGAACGGTGTAGTTGAGCGTAAACATCGTCATGTTGTCGAAACTGTTTTGTCCTTGCTTTTTCACTCCCTCTTGAGTTTTGGTTTCATGCCTTCTCTACTGCTATTTTTTTTTTTAATCAATAGAATGTCAAATGCTTCTCTTAGTTTTATGCCACCTTTAGAAAAGTTTTTTGGCCACACTCCATACTATAAACATATATAAGTTTTTGGGTGTGCTTGCTATCCTCTTTTGAAACCCTACAATAAACACAAACTTGAACCTAAAACTTCTCAACATGTTTTTCTTGGCTACACTCTTGACAATAAAGGCTATCTTTGCAATATCATGGACTCCAAGAAAGCCATTGTCTCTCAACATGTTACTCTCTATGAATCCATATTTCCCTTTGCCAATAACTCTCCAAAAGAGAGTTATTTGTGCCTATAAATTGCATGAAATAGCTAAAGTTAGTCTATTCTAGCTCCAAGTATTCAGCGAGTGTGCTTAAATTAGAAGATAAATCAACGTCTCGAATGACTAAGAGTCTAATGTTAGCGCTCAATTAAATGATCTGATTTAGAGCATTTTGCTGCAGCTTTGATGATGCTATAGCATTGGTTCCAGAAAAAGACAAAAAGCGGCAAGCTAGCAATGGAAGGACTTCTCAATAGTGTTTACTACAGTAATTGGAGGTTTTTACCCGAGAGTGAAAGCTGGGTCCCACAAGGCTTGTGTTGTTGCCCTAATATCTGAAGGTTGTATAAATGCAAGCAAGAGGAGAAGCCTTCACACACACACACACCAAGAAAATCTCCTTTGTTAATTCTTGAAGGAATTCACCTTCACTCCAAGAAAACCTCTCAAAACCGTTAGGGAAAGTCAAGAGAAGAAGAAGACTCAGATCAGCAGCTGAGAAGAGGCCGAGAACTCCTATTGGAAACTGATCTTCAGCTCATTCTCTTCATTTTTAGCATCTTTGTATTGTTTTTATTCCTACATTTTTTTACTCTTCTTATGGTATTGTTTAGCTAATCACCTTGTGTAAGGGGAAATCATTTTCTAGGCTGTAACTTTATTGTTTTGCTTTAATGAAAGTTTTCTTTGAGTTGAAGTTGTTTTATCACTCTATTTTCAATGTGCTTGATCACCATGTTGAAATACCTCTTTATTAAGGAGTGAAACCCTTCATCTTGAGCTAGAGTCTACTTGAGTTTAGCATGTGGTGACTTAGGTATAAACATCACCTAGCTT